GGCAGATAATACGGCAGAGTTTTGTGTTAAGTACCAGGCATAATAGTAGTAGTAGGTGCCACAAGGTACACAAAAGCCAATAGGTATATACCCAAATCAAAAAAGAGAGAGAGAGAGTGAAAGAGAAAGTTTCCAATAGATTAAGACGAGTACTGGAAGGCTGGAAGCTAAACAAAGAAAAGTTGTTTAGCCTTTGGGAAGCCTTTTCCTCCATACTATTCCTGATATATTATAATAATTATGAGCCATCATTATAATTTTAAAAAGTGCTTTCGTTAAAGCGCTGAAATAAATACTGAATACTTAAAAACATTTGTATACTTAAAACGAGACTTCTAAGCACTTAAATAAATACTGAATACCTTGAAACACTCAAAGTACTTAAAAATACTCTGAATAACCAAAAGTATACAAATTACGTGAGTGCGGAGCGATTAAACTTGAGTGAAGAACTGAAATGCTCATATAAATCTACTTTCAATGGTTTAATTAAAATAATAATAATCATAAAAAAATTATTTTAATGCATGCGCGCGTCCTCAAAAAAAATTGCATAGCCGCTGCTTCCTGCACTTCCACCACCACCCCCCTTATACAGTTTTGGCCACTTAAGCGGGGTAAGCCCAAACCCTTAAAAAAAAGAACCCCAACTCAAACACATTCTCCCACTCCATTGCCCCATTCATGACCCGCAAAACTCGCGCATTTTGCTTTTATTTATTTTTATTTAACTTTTTTTTGGTTTTTTAATTTTTTATTAAAACATGCGCTAAATGTTCCCCTTGCGGCAATTTAATAAAAATAAAAGCCAAGCCGAACAACTTCAGAGTCGGCACAGCACCTGTTTTAAGCCCACAGACACACACACGCCCACACACACACACACACTCATACACACACACACACATACACTAATAAAACCTTTACAGGTCTTTCAGGTGAATGCGCGCGCTGCGTGCATTAAATTTTCACTATTCATCTAAAAAAAAGGTAAAGCGGCAAAATAAACCAAAAAAGAGGGGGGAAAATACAAGCAAAGTGAGAAATAAAGGAAAAAGGAAACGTGGCGCCACAGAGCAGATATACTGTTGAATGGTAGGCGCAACACCAAAAGTGTTGGCCATAAGTCAGCAAACATGAATAACAAATCAATTCAGTTTTAACGGCACTGCAAATTCTTGAGCGCCCACACACAAGAGCACACACACAACACACACACACACACAACACACAGGACATGAACAGGTTTCATTTGAAAGGTGCGAAAACGAGCTGTTGAAAGGCGCGCATAGTAGAGCAAAGGCGTCGAAATATACACACACACACACACATAAAAGCTGGTGCTTAAGAGGCCACCAAACAAATGTGTGTGCTGATGTGTGTGTGTGTGCGGTTGTGTGTGTGTGTGTGTATGTGCCGCCTAGCTCCGTGTTAATGGCAGGCAGGCTCTTGTCCGCTTGGGCGTCGGGCATTTTGAATTTTTAATACAGGCCTGCTTAGGTTGCCACCAGCACGAACCCCAACCTTCTCCCCCTCCTTCCCCACCCCTCACCCACAAGTCGAGCTGTTCCAAATTTTTTTCCTTTTTTTCTCTCCCTCTCCTTTTTTTTTTAGGCATGTTTGCATACACTTAGGTTGCCCAGCATACTATGCATATGCATGCTGCTATGTATGTGTGTGTGTGTGTGTGTGTGGGTAGGTGCCCCATGCGCTTGTCTCTCCCTCCCCCACCCCTCTCTATCCCTTTCTCTCTCTCTCTCTCTCTGTCATTCTCTTACTCTTTTTTATGCCTGGGTAAAATTGTCCGGTAATAAATTTTCAGCGTTTCCTGCCGACAAAGCGCCGCACTTTACAACACTTTTGGCATAAACAAACAAACACCAAAACACGCACACATATGCAGTTGTCCATGCGTGTGAATGGACTATGTGTGTGTCGGTGTGACTTTGAGTGTGTAAGTGCAGCATGGCGTTCATGTAACGGAAGTTAAGTACACACTAAGTTGAGCTCATGCGCTTGTAGCAACGTTTCCTTCATATGTTTTTTGATACTCGCCACACACACACACACACACACACACACCCCTTCCCCTCCACACCACCTCTGCCCTTGGCCTGCAGGTGAAAATGTTTAGAGTTTATTTCTTCCTTTTTTTTTTGTGTTATTATTATTGTGTACACAGTGGCGCTGTCCAAAGGCTTAAAACAAAACTTTTGCGCTATGCCATCAAAATGAATGTCGACATCCTTTGCCGCTGCTGCTCCTGCGCATTAAGGCGCCTGATGAGCTCCTACCAATGTTACTTTGCATACATGTGTATGTATGTGTGTGTGTGTGTGTGTGTTTTGCATATTTTCTGTTGCTGTGTACTTATGTTTATGGTGTTAAGTACGTTCCTCAAGTGTTGCATGTTTACGCAGCACCCGGACTAAGAAATTCTCATGAGTGCGCCCAAATAAAGGACATGCTCAAAACTCAAGAGTACAACACATTTTTGGGCAATAATCAGCACAATTACTAATAATTTAAGAAATTTAATCATATTATTTATTTAATAATATATATTTTTTATACCAGCTACAAATTTAATACTTATAAATTATTACACTAGCTACAATTATTACAAATAAATGTGACAATAAAATCATAATTACCCAATACAATTAATTGTTCACAATGTTAAGTGATTTATTCACATGATTTATTTATATGCCAACCCTTTGTTATTTTAATGAGGGGCTATGAAATGCGCTTCACTTCTTCAAAGCTGTTTGTTCGACAAGCGATTTTATAACTAGCCAAAAATAATTTACTATTTATAAATAAATGCAGCGATCAATATAAGCTCAATGTATATTCATAAAGAAAAAAAAGATCTTCATCGATATTAGTGTAGAATTTCTAATAGCAAACTAAAAAACTGAACAAAGTTATCTGGCAACCCTGCTGTCATTGCCCCCTCGATACTGCTGAGTAGCAAATACTCGTAGTGTTAAGGAACGATAACAGCAGATTATCGATATCTTTAAAATATTGATAATTCCCAAGCGGAAGTATGTGGAGTTAGACAGCAAGCGAATGAAACGGGATTATGCAAGCACAAGCAATCCATTATAATAATAAATAAACTATATAATAATAATATCTACATTAACAAAATTACTTGAATTCAAATGTGAATTTCGCTGTTGTAGGCTCTGAGATTGGCTCATTTCAAACAGATGGGCTGTCAAGCAGTCGTACATACACATACACATTGCTACATTCAGTCGGATATTGATACCGATAATGAATATGCCGATATATGTCATGCTTTCTTTGCATTCATTCACAAATCTTCATCATTTTCAAAATTATTAACTGAATTCCAAGAATAGTAAGAAAAATATAACAAAGACAAATCTGTCTGTCTCTGATAGTGAACTCATTATAAAGTATACCTACTATGCAGCATGAATGTTGCATATAACAACGTGGCATAATGTGAGCCTCTATTGTGTGCCGCTCTGCCTAACAGTTGTGTGGCAACAAACAACGAGAATCGAGAACAAGTGTTTGTAGGCGTCCTGCTTGTTGCTTGTTGCTTGAGCTAATAAAACACTTACTAACACTGGCACTCCAAGCTAATTATGCGCTGCTGCTGTGCGGAGACGTGGGGGCATCAAGTAGTCAAGAGGAGGACGAAGGGCGAGGGGGCGCGGTGTGTGCATATGTATCTAGGTGTAGTGGCGTCATTAACTGTCATTACACAATTTCCATAAACAACAAATGTTCGCCAGTGTGTGTGTGTGCTGTGTAACGTGAGATAAGGAGAAAGAGAGAGAGACAGGTAAGGAGAGGAAGGGAGAGCTGCAATAAAAGTTGTGGCTGATTGTGTAAAGCGAGTATTTTAGCCATTGTTTGTCTTTGGAAACTTTCTAAATTGTGTTAAATATTCCATTAAGCAGAAAGCTTTTTTGTTCCCAACTGCAACTGCAGCAGCGATGCCTGACTAGATAAATTCAATGGGTAAAATAAGCCTTGGCCACCACGAAAGGGGTAACAGTCTGTTGAGGGCGCTCTGAATAAAAGCCAGCCATTTTTATTATAATTCTATGTTCAAATGTCCGACATTTTCTGTATATATATATATATATATATATATTTATATGTACGTACATAGTATGGAAAAGTTTTCCTGTCCGCATTGATTTTATTATGGGACGTCCAGTGGCTGGCATAGATGAGAATTAATGAAGCTGGCAAGCTTTTAAAATAATTGCCAACATGCAAGTTTAATCGCTTTTTATATGTTGTTCAATAGCTATCGAAATGCAGCAATCAATTGATAAAAAAAACAATGCAAGTTTCTAGGAATACATAAAAGCTAATCATGATTGTGGGTAGTATGTTTTAGTATAATAGTTACTTGGAATTCTAAAGAACGATAATTCCAGGCACATTTTATATAGACTGTGTATAAGTTTATTCTTATATATGGTCGTAAATTAGAAAGTTTTGATTACAGAGATCATTGCAATTTAACACCATTTCTTGAAGAAAATCTTTCAAATTGTAATATGTTTAATTTTTAATGGCATTATAGGAATATCGAAAATAATATATAGGATATGTTTGATTAAAAGAAAATAACAAAAAGCATTAACAAATATACTTTTAACATGTATGTGGAGAGCTCTTCTTACTTACATAATTTAATTTGCAAAAGGTAATTTAAATTAAATGACGCTTAATAAAATTTTGATGGAACCAGATAACTTACATAATATTTCTCTACTTAATAAACTAATAAATATTAATTAATATTTTTGATAAATTGCCATTTATATGCTTCTTTCCGTTATTTACAAAATTCAAATCAGTCGCTACAAAACGCCACCTATGGCGTCGACAGCGTGGCTACCATGCGCACCGCGCAACACTACTCACACACTCAGTCGTACACGAATTTTTCGGTATTTTTTAGCAACTAAAACCCAGTTAGGGTTACAGCACAGCTAGAAAAAAATAAAAAGCGAAAGAAGAAGCAAAACAGTCACAAAGTAGGCGCAGTGAGAATGTATAATTTAATTTAACTTAATTACAATTAGTTGGCCGCGCTAGATTTCATTTGACGTTTTCCCACAACGCCAGCCAGAACGCAGCTAACGTTGAAAAGCTACGCAAGCGGGCACAAAGCGAAAAACAAGCGCTACCAAAAAAAAAATAACCAGCGCTTGAAGCAACCAATAAAGAAAGAAAGAAGAAAAAACACACACAAAGCAGAGCAAAGCGAAAGAAATGCAGCAAAAATTTAGCCGGGGCCGCGCAGCGCTGGCGCTGCTGATGGCTTGCTGCTGTCTGCTTTCTGCTGCTGCCGAAATCGACGACTTTGACGACGACGGACTCGTCGAAGATGTGCAGGTGAGCAAAACACACACACACACATTTCTTTATTTATAATAAGTAAATATGTATGTATGGCAGCCGGCGCACAAAAAAGTACACGTCAGTAGCAACAACTTTTGTTGTTCTACGGGTGGGGGGCGTTATAGGGGTTAATACTCATTCATATGTGCGAGAGAGCAGTTTACAACACTGACTCCAATTCACATCGGCTTGCAAGGTTTACATAGATGCATATGTATGTTTGTATACAAAATATTCATATGCACGGATGTAAACTAAGCCAACAAACTTACGCAAGCCCCCCCTCACGCCACACATACACAGCCCTGTCTAGATGTGTGTCTGTTACTCGCTCGTTCTTTCTCTCTCTTGCACGCGCCGAGAAAAATATGTGTCAGCCGCGTGGTTTTTTTTTACTCCCTGTACTAAGTGGGTTGAAATTGTATTTCGAATTATGCCAAAAAGCGGAATAAAGCATTTCATTTATTCGTCTATTCATTTACTCCAATACAAAATGCTATATTCCAGAATATTAAGCATCTGTAAATATAAATTTATTAGTTATAGTTAGGGTCTTAAAATATGCACTTATTTAGAGCAAGTTTTTTATATTAGAGAATATTTAAAATGTGATAAACTTCAATTAGCTCAAGAACAATTTCTTTCAATTTCAACTTATATATTCTTCATCAGCTGCCATCTGTTCTGATCTGAAACATAGTGAAATTTATCAATAATATTCGTGGAAAGAATAGATTTATAAATACTCCTCTTGTTTCTAAGTGAATATGTCTCGTAGATAAAAAACTTGAATATGCACAGCATGAAAAGATAAAGTAAATTTGATTAAACTCCCTTCTCTTGTCTAAGTCACCCTCATATCTTCTTATCTCTGTTTGGTTATCTCTTATCGTTATCAATATCTCAACATTTTCAGGAGGAACCTGTTGACGTAGCCGGCGAGGAGCTGAACTATGAGAGTCCCATCATCGAGCCCAGAAAATTCCACTTTGCCGATCATTTTGACGATATTGAAGCATCACGAAAATTGTGGGTCAAATCGCAGGCCAAAAAGGATGATATTTCGGAGGAGATTGCCAAATACGATGGCATCTGGAACTGGGAATCCCCGCTGCGCATTGTGTGGCCCAAGGATAAGGGTCTGGTGCTAAAGTCCAAGGCAAAACATGCTGCAATCTCGGCGCGCCTAACCAAAAAGTTTGACTTCAAGCCGGAGAAACCACTCGTGGTTCAATATGAGGTCACAATGCAGGTGCGTTAACAACAACAACAGAGAAACAACCCCAGCCGCCACAAATGTGGATTGCATCAGCCTAGCACTCGCCTACGGATTGGCTAATCCAATTAATAGTCAACTGTCAACTAATCGACCCAATTTCTCGCTTGCTCTCTTTCTATGTGGTTCGCAGGAGGGACAAGAGTGCGGCGGTTCCTATCTAAAGCTACTGTCCGCAGGCAAGGAAACCGAAGATCTGACAACGGTAGGTGAAATGTGAAATGCACAAATGTGATACAGTGCTCACTCGATAAGTAGAACAATTTGGCTTTAAAAGTTATTCTATTTTTTATACTCTTCAACTTCTGTTTAGGACTTAAAATATATGTAATTAGTCAATGCTTTACTTAACAATATTTAGGATCTTAAAAAATTCACATTCACTTCTGTGAAATGTACAACAATTCTATATTTGAACATTTTTAGGCTTCTCGGAATATTTCATTTATTTTGTGTACTTTTTCTATATTTATTTATTTTCTTTGCATTTCAATTTCAATTGCAAAAATGGATCTAATTTCGGAACGAGCACTGTTTGACCTATATACACATTTATATACTTATATTCTAATAATTGTTTACTATTTTGTGTGTTTTTGGCGGCTATAGTTCAATGACAAGACACCGTACACGATTATGTTTGGACCGGACAAGTGCGGCAACGATGTGAAAATGCACTTCATATTCCGCCACGTAAATCCAATTAACGGCACCATAACCGAGAAACACTGTAACAAACCAAAGTAAGTGCCTCCTGCCCCCATACGAGATATATATTTATATGTGGGCATATGCCACAGGCGATTGCAACCACCGTTTGCCGCTATATTTGCTTTGCTTTTGCTTTACTGTGTGCAGATAAGCTGTGAATATTTTATGCATTTAGATTAACCCCATGTGCAACAGTTGCTGCTGGCTCTCGCGGGTCATTCACTTGTTCACACTTTCCATTCCCCATTTTGAAATCACACAGGTTCTATATTAGGTGGCACAGATGTATAAATGTTGTATCAAATCAGTAGTCTGTCTTTTGATGTAAACAAACAAATAAATATAGATACATAATAATTATTAATATATACATATAGATATAAACCCTAGCCCTCGATCTATGCTCTCATTTTCACTGCGGTTTTCCTCATTATTATTATTTAAGGAACCGCTTGGAGGAGCCCTTCAAGGACAAGCTGCCACATTTGTATCAGCTTGTGCTGCGACCGGACAACAGCTTTGAGATTCGTTTGGATCACAAGATCATTAATGAGGGCTCGCTGCTGACGGACTTTAAGCCCGCTGTCAATCCACCGGCCGAGATCGATGATCCCTCAGATCAGAAGCCATCCGATTGGGATGAACGCGAAAAGATACCCGATCCAACATCCCAAAAGCCCGATGACTGGAACGAGGATGCACCGCCCCAAATACCCGATGCCAGCGCTGTTATGCCCGATGGTTGGCTCGAGGATGAACCCGATATGATTGCCGATCCCACAGCGTCCAAGCCCGACGATTGGGATACCGAAATCGATGGTGAATGGGAGGCGCCTCTCGTCGATAACCCGGTGTGCGAAAAGTCTGCCGGTTGCGGCAAATGGAAGGCACCACTCATACCCAATCCCGAATACAAGGGCAAATGGCGTGCAGCCATGATCGAGAATCCCAACTACCAGGGCAAGTGGGCACCGCGCAAGATAGCCAATCCCGATTTCTTTGAGGATCTGCAACCCTTCAAAATGACGCCAATTGTAAGTGCATGAAATGATTACTAAATGTTTATTCAATTATGCAAATAGTTTTAAATGAAAAACAATGAAAATTCCAATCAATTATAATCTAAAAGTAATTCGAATTTTAAAGCAGCTTTAATTTGTACAATTTTAAAGTGGTTTCCGAGTTTTATATTTAAAAGTTTTAATGAAAAAAATAATTCCTGTGTAACCATTGTATTTTGCTGTATTTAAACATTATATTATTTTAATTGCCACAATTTGATGTATTTAATATATAATATAATATTTATGACACTTAAACGCTTTATTTTCTAGAGCGCTGTTGGCCTGGAGTTGTGGTCCATGTCCAATGAGATCTTATTTGACAATCTCATCGTTACGGACGATGTGGAGGTGGCACGTGACTTTGCCGCCAACAGCTTTGACATCAAGCGTCGCTATATTGATCGCGAATCGGTAAGTTGGCTACGGCCCATATCCCATAACCCACATCCCAAAACTCAAAACCTACCCCCAAAATATGCATAATATGAACACAACATAAACAAACAATTGAACTTTGAACTCTGCTACGAACCGGAAGAAAACGCTGTGGCATCGAATGATGCGTCACATGAACTACAAGCCCGGCTGGTGGGCATTATATTTTCTATATCTGCTGATACCAGCCAGCTGCTATGTCTTCTATTTGTATCGACGCTCCAAAGAGGTTTCATGCGACTTTACTGATATATATATATATATATCGTATAGAAATGTATCTGCTTAAACACCAAAAATACACACATTGCTTCACATTTGCCTTTGCACTTTGCACCGTTATTGCTATTTGCTACTTTTCATCTCATTTTGTAGGACTCATTGGTCAACAAGGTCACTGAGCTAGCCAAGGCATATCCAACGGCCTCGCTCCTGGGCCTGGTCGCCTTTCTTATGTTGTCTGTCACCGGCATTTATCTTAAATTTGGCAAAGCTAAGAGTCAGGTAACGCAACACGCTAGCTATTCAAACTGTAGTCTCATTTTGAAGCAGTTAGAACTGTTCTAATGCCTATTATGGTTATATAGGATTCGGCGGCAACAGCTGCTGCTGCACAGGCAAAGAAAACGGATGCCCCGCAGCCCGATGATGAGGAAGAGCTCGCTGCTGCTGCTGCTGTTGATGATGAGGAGCAGGATGAGAGCGAGGAGGATGTGGATGAGGCACCAGCACCGAAGTCGGCTGTTGATGATGACAGCAAGACCTCAGAGTCTGCCAGTCCCAAAAATAATACAAAGTCTGATTTAGATATTAAAGAGGAATTGCAGCAGCAGAATGATGATGAGCCTACACAGACTGAGGTAAGTCAACAACAACGAATCTGCCCAATAGTTTGCAATCTAATCGAGTACTTGTCTTTATTGCCACAGGAATCAACTACAAAATCCGCTCGCAAGCGTACCGTGCGCAAGGACTAGAGGGCGGGCGCGGGGCACAATCCAAAGCAGCTCTCGCATTCACAAATACTTGAAACTTAAACTAATTCCAAATAATGTTTAACAGCAACACAACAACAAACCACACATCATGTTCAAGATTCAATTAACACTCGAGCTAAAAAACACCCACGAAATACCAAAACCATGTTGTTGATACTTGCTACACACACACGGGCACACACAGACACACAGGCACACAAAGAGAGCATAGTTCCATAGTTGATTATCGCATGCAGCTGCTAATTTAATGAACTCGTTTATTTGTGGTTTTTCGGTTTAGTCTTCTTCTTAAATACGTACGGTACATTTTGTATTATCATTGTATTTCTGTTCGTCTACTCTCCCTATACATATACCACACACACACACACATAAATATATATATATATATATAGCTCTATACATCTGTTTACGCCCAGCCCCCCCAAAAAATCGTCTGTCTCATTTGGTGTAGTTTTCTGTTCACACACACAACAACTTTTGATTTATGTCCTTTTTCAACTAATTCAAAACGAAACTAGGCAAATGAGGGAATCAAAGATAAACAAAATAAACCAATAAGCGATACAGGCAAAGAAACTCCAGTAAATGAGAGAGAGTAAGGGAGATCGAGAGATAAAGAGAGAGCAACGGGAAAATATCTAGTTTAATATTATGTAATTTAAACGAAATTTTATGAATACGCTAGTTATACTCAGAGTTTAAACAAATTTCATTTTGTTCATGTGTAACAATGAAAATTTACAGCGAAAAATAAAAACTAAATGTCAAAACCAACAACACAAATCATTATTTAATACAATTCCCAATGAACCAAGCAACAACAACAGCAACCGACGCCAAACAGCGGCCAGGAAGGACTAAACCCACAAACATTGGTATCGAGTCCAGCAACCACCAAAATGATGCCTCCTGAAATGTGTTAATTTAAATTGTCAAACCCTTGTAAATTGTGATGGAAAACTTTTGTTGTGCAGCCAATGTTGGGCATCCAATTGGATTTGTGCTTGGTGGTGCGTGCAGCGACAACCACCACAATCAGCGGTGCAGACGAGACGACGACAACGCGTCTCTGCATATTTTGTGGTTTTTAGCCACAATTTCCATAATGTTGTGTGGAAACATTTCGCTTTGCAGATTGCTAAATGTGATTTGCGATAAATGCCAACATTTTGGCCGACTAAATTTCTCATTTCGCATTTTGAGATTCAGCAACTAAAAGGGGCGGATTTTGTATATAATTTTTTACTGCCGGAAGAATCCAAATCTAAGATAAGATGTGTAATTTAAGTGTGCTTAAATGGAACCACAAATGATTTAATACATTTATAAAAATCACATTTGACCAACTGGAATTAACGACGATTAAGATACACTTCAATCCATTCTTGTTTACTGAGGAACAATTAAGTTTAAATTTGCTACACAAAGAACATTTTCTGGTAACTATTGATTCCATTTATCACAACTTTAATTAAGTAGTGGCCTCTGCCTTCTTTAGTTTCCTATGCTTTTAATTGTAGTTTCTACTTAGCCATTAAGTCAGGAGTTTGGAGACTAATTGCTACCTTTTAACCAAAACTTTCGACACAAATATTCATATTGTTCTCATATGGAATTTACTTTCATTTTAGAAATGATTATTTTCTGTTTAGAAAATCATTTGCTCGATTTGAGAACCACAAATTTTTCTATATATCTCGATTCACCTGATGCATTTCTGAAGAAGATTTTTAATCAGCTCGCAAAGTTTTCATTTTATTTATTTATTTAAAGTGGACTTAATAGATGCAGATTGTTCAACTATCAAAAAGCATATTTAAACATTATAGCAAATTCAATTTGAATAATAAATTCAATTTATACTTAACATCAAATTCTTTATCGTTAAGCCGCAGAAGAGTTTCAATTTGTATAGTTTTTCAACTATCAAAACGCGTATCTTTCAAATAATGTAATTTAAGTGATTTTCAATAATAAATTCAATTTCAAGCAAACTTTAAACGGTTCTTCAAGTCTTAAGCAAATATCAATAGCAATTTAATTCATTTTCCCAAACCCATAAATATGCCAGGCCAGACAGTTTCTTGGCTATAAAAGCGGCAAGGCAATTGTTAATGAAATTGTTATGACAACCCGAAGGCCAAATGTATGCAATCATATATGTACATATATATAGATATATACATGTATATGTATGTGTATATGGGATTGGAAAATACTCTCTATTCAAATTAGATTTATGCCCGCCAACAGATGTGTGCGACTCGAATTCCGTCTAGAAATCAACCCGGAAACCTTTTTGGGACACAAAAGATTAAATGGTTAGCATGGTGCGAAAGTAAGGGTTGGGGTTGGGGTTGGTGTTGGTGTTGGGGGATTGGGGCTTTAACTGATGTCTGCTGCGATATCGACGCACTTAAAAGGATTAACATTTTTGTGCTGACTGCGGCGGGCAAACGTCTCGTCGCATATTAAAATAACATGGCACAAAACGAGGGAGTGGGCGACGAGCTTGCAACCATAATTCATAGACAGACACACAACAACAACAGCAGCAGCAGCGCCCCTCGTCGTCCTGCTCATATGCTGCTGCAATTATATTGGTTGGTGTCCAGTGCTCTCATTCTCCTCAAACTTCGCCGAGTTTTGCCATGCGTAAGCATTATAATTTTTAATAAAAATGTTTTCTTTTTTTTTTCTCTGCCCATACTTTTGTGTCAAAGGCAGGCAGAGGGTAAAAAAATATAACTTTGAACCCTTCAAGCAGACAATAAACATGCGGGTCCAGACACAGACCAAACCAAGCCGAACAATTCCCCTTTGAAGACTTCACAAAACGGCTGGCTTCCGAGTGAGCGCTTTAAGTAGAATTAGTTTAAACGGGTATTTTATTTATATTTGGGGACTCCCACACTTTTTGGGGGAACTGGAACTCATTGCAGCAGCAGCAACAGCAGCAGCAGCAGGCCTCTCGTCTATGCCAATCGATGCGTAAGCCTGACTGCCACATGCCATATGTAATGTTATTGCAAGGGAAACCACACCTCCCCCCACTCCTCCCCCCCTTGACAAGTTGGGGTTGTTGGCTTTGAGGGTTGCAATTTAAGTGCCTTATGTGTGGTAAGCGATTTTGGCAAGTTCCGTGCAATTAAGTCGTGCATATATCTGATCGAATCGAATGTTGGACAACTACCAGTGAACACGAGAGTCCTGTCGGGACATTAATTACGCATTGGGCACATTGCAGGCTCGATTTCAGCATAAAGATTATAGATAAATATAGCGAAAAAAAATTAAAAGCAAAAATAAAATTCATAAAACTAAATTGCTTTTTGAATACGCTCACTCAGAAAGATTTATTCGATTGCGAAATTACTTTTATTGATTTCGTGCAGCGACAATCTTCTTATGTCCCCATTCCCCCTTCCCCTTCCCCAATTTCCCAACCATTTCCATTTCCCCAATAACCATTTTTCACTCAAGTCAATTGCGTTTGTCAAGGGAATTGAGTTGACTTGTGAAAAGGTTTGATGTCATTTCAAATACTTTGAATTTTGTAAACAGATTTGCATATTTTAGCGTTTCTAATGAATGTCCATTCGTTTTATACTCAAATGAGTTGCGAGCGGAAGACCGAAAAGGACACGTTATTGTTAGTCAATCAAATATTTAACATGTTCTGCAGAAACTCAGACTCCATATATATATACATATATATATATATACGTAAGTAAGATGCCGATTTTTGAGCAGTATCTTTTTAATTGGTTCGTGTGGATTATCTTCTGGTTTGGCCCACACCTCATAGAGCGTACCCTTCGAGACTTACCTCTTTAGTTTTGATACCGAGAAACTCTCCTCAGAAACCCTACTCTTATGCTATATAATCCATTCAATCTGCTCGATTCTCTCTAGTCGACTTATTGTCCCGATTGAAGCTTTATGTTAGGCGAGTCTTCAGCAATTTCATTCCAATGCAAACTAAATAATAATTAATACTTACAAAATATAACTATAAGAATTGCATGCTCCTCGGGTGGTGAATGATGTTGATGATAGTCCTTAATCAAGGCTCGAGCAGTTAGTCACTGTCTAAAAAAGAAGAAACTGCTTCGATCCTTCGACTGTTTTACTTAAAGGAAAGTGCTGATGGCAACTGCAATTCAGCTTGTGTTTGTTGATACTCTGATTGCCTGTCGTCGGGTTGTCATTTTCTGTGTTGATCTACAATATATTTACATATAATTTTATTTATTATTTCTATACACAAGTAAGAATTATCTAATGTTTATCTCATCACAAGTCGTGACCTCTCCGCACTTTTTAGTCAATTTCACAACCTTGCTTCTGTGTTAATTGCTTGGTGCTATGTGCAAATATATGAAATCTTTGCTAAGTGACAAAAGCCACATGATTTAGCTGATATGTTAACTGACAAAAGCTGATATTCTTTTACAACTATGGTTGGTGACTAAGTAAAGCAGGTTAGAAAATCCTACTCAACGAAATTAAACATTAAACGAAGAAATTTCCCAAAACTTGACGATAGTAAATACAACGATAGATACTACCTCGCATTCAACGAAATGACTCCGAAAGTGGAATGTAAGTTTTAACGAAAGTATTTTTTGGAAGGGAATTTGTCAAACATTAAACGAAACGACCCGTTCTGGAGAATCAACGAAATAACCGTTTATATGGTAAGGAAGGGAAATTTGTTATGAAGGGAACATATAAAGGGAAGGGAATATATATAAAAATCCTTTGGTGGACAATGAACGAAATAAACGCTTTTGAAGTAAGTTCTCCACACAACAAGAATGCGTGTAATCCAAGTCACGCACCGCCAATACGTTAACAATGGCTCTTAAACTGTTAAACAATGGCTGAGCATGTGAAAAGTGAGCAACGAAAGTGAGCAACGAAAGTGAGCTAACAATTACAACAAAACTGTTAAGCAACGGCTGTTAGCATTTGAAAAGTGTGCATGCACGTTCCTGTCGCAAAAGTGGCTAAGAACTGTTACATATGTGTATATAAATATAGGTATTTATACATATATTGATATATATTTTCAATATATTGCCTTCATTCGCATTGTTCAATCCAAATGCTTATAATTAAAATTAATTTCTGCCAAGATAATTTTAGTAAAGGAATTTTCAAACGGGGAAGGAATTTTCCAAGGAACGGACACAAATCCCGCATGTGTCCTTACGTCCCCTGCCCCCATCCACTGTCTGCATTAATGTCCTTGACCAGTTGCAGGCTACTTGAAGGACACAACGCAATCTGGCGGTGTAAAAACAATATGATTTTTATTGTAAATCGTTTATCTTCATTACGCGGGCAGCGTCAAAAAACTCACAAAATGACCACAGCAACAAAAACAACAAGAAAAAAAAACCCGTTTGGATTTGGCAATAAAAAAAATGCGCCGTTGACCGTTTTGAAAATGATTGCATTTATTATGAGCAGTGTGCTTCAAGTGTCCACCCCAAACAGGAAGAAGAAAAATCGGATATAGTCGAAGAAATATGGTATGCAACCCTTAACTTATGCATTGGATATTGCAGACTGACCCTAATTAAATTTGCTTTGTGTGAGGCAGTTTTAGTTTGTCTTTTGATTGCCGATTGCCTTGTTCTTGGGATTAAGCTTTTGTTTTTCCGTTTAACGCTTAATTTCAACATTTTGATGGCCTAACACGATTTGCGCCAGGTCCGCTTGACCCCTTGTTATCTAACTGTGCAGGATCGCTTACAGCAACAGTA